ATAATTAACTTTATCTATAAGACCAATGATCCTGCATTAGGTGGAATTTCCCTATTTAGTCCACTCAGAGATGCAGACAAGGATATCATCGTTAAATTTGTTTAGTTAACAATTTTAATGGGCATCGCACTAAATCTTTACCTAAACGTCAATGGTGACAACCCACCAAGATATTATTTGAAGATGATTTTCCTGTTGCACATTTAATTTCATTCCATATGTCCCTAGCTAGCCCCTATTTAAGCCTGCTTGAGCCTCCTCCTTTCTTATCTCCGTCTAAGATCACACATATTAATTACATAGCATCGTAGCTGCATCTGGTAAGTTAACCAACCTGCTGTTTGTTTCTCTTCTTCGTTGTTTAAAATCACATGCATATATTGTGTCCTCGATCAATATTTAGCAATTAGCACGACACAGTGCTTCTAAATCATGCATGAACTCACCTTTTTTTGTGTGTGTGTGAGTGGCTAAGGCAAATTAATCGAAGAGAATGAAGTTTGTGGTCATAATTGCACTAGTGTTGATGCTGGCAAGCCCTTCTATGGCTATAGATAGGAAGAAATTCGTGACCAAATTGGAGGAGGTAGAACTGAGTAATGAATCTGATAATAATGATCACCGTGAATTCTCTCCCAAGAAGTATGGCGAACGTACTGTGAGTGAGGCGGATAGTCACCATTACATCCCTCGTAAGGACTTTTCACCACCCGGCCAGGAAGGAAAATAAATGTGATTTAGAATCTTTTTTTATATATAAAGTTTTAAATTAGTAGAATAACAGAAGCGGATATGAATTTATAAGCACATAAATACTTTTATTTGCATTAAAAAATTTTGGGTGATGATCAAAAATTTATATTTTATGGGAGTTTATTAAGTTCAAAGTAGATGATTTTATATCAATGTAGACATATGTATGTGTCTTTGAAATGTGGGTGTCTAAGGATGCACCCCTGGATAATGTGTGTCCAGGAATACACTTCTAAAATGGACATTTTAGATAATAATTAAAAATAAATTTATAAAAATTTAAGTTCAAAGTTGATATAGGACACGAATCATGTGATTTCATATACTTTGTCTAAGGATGTCAACATGGTCAATATAGATAGTATGTTCTCGTTACCCTTCCCGTCAGATAAATATATGTTTCATATTCATCCTTATATTCGTATGGATATCTATTAAACAAGTATTTGCATTTTTTAATATTCACAAATATTCATAAATAATCACATTTATTTACTAAAAAAATAACATAAAAGTTTACATAAAATAAAATCTACATAAATAAAAAAAATTGCATAAAATGAAACTTGCATAAATAAAATTTGTATAAAAAGCTTATGTAAAACTCCTTAAAACACACATATAACCTAAAGAAAAACTACGTAAATTAAGTAATTTATTATCAGCAAGTATCTACAAGTGTAGATACTATGATACACATCCCATCTAATTAATTAAGATGCAAATATATAAAATATTTGTACCTATATATTATCCACGTGTACCCATCATTAAAAATATATATGTACGTGTTCATATCGGTCATCAAGAACATATGAATTGGTATCCTAACCCTACGTTTGAGAATTACATAATCATAGTTGCGTTAATTAACGAATAATTAAAGAAGACTTGGTTTGATTAAAACTATATTTGTCAGGTTTTCAATGATCAAATCATTTCTTTCAAAAAAAAAACGTATTCTTAATAAGAAAAACATATTGTTCGTTTAGTTGATAAAGTTAAAACTGGAGTTGAACCATTGCTTAATCTGATATGTTGATTTCCTTCCGTTGATGGATTCCATCGGATCTCTTTCATGAGTGTGGTTCAGAACAAAATTAGGAAAATTGACTATATATTAATACTATTGAATTGGTTATGTGTTAACCCTTTAGGGCAGGGACGGAGCCAGGATTTCAATACTGGGGGGCCGAGAATAAATAATATATAATTTATAATAAATGAAAATTAAAGTCCAAAAGTGATACCACATAGCAGGCCGTACCAGAAGTCCAAAAGTTGAATAAAAAAATAAATTTGAGTTATTCATTTAATTATACATATGAGTTTATATTAAAAATAGGGGGTGCCATATAGTAATATATATGTATATAAAAAAAAATTAAAATTGTTGGGGGGGCCGTGGCACCCGTAGGTCCCCCCTTGGCTCCGTCCTTGCTTTAGGGGGTATATATATGTCTCGCTGAATAGATGGAATTGTTGTAGCTAGGTGGCATTATTAAGATGTAGGGGTACATCTGTATATGGTATCTTACTATGTGATAGTCATGTTTTCAGTATGATATATTGGGGGTAGAATTTTACTATACATTTGTATCCACTTTACAAACTTAAAGCATGCCTTTTGCTGGGTTATGTGTTGATATAAAAAGTTATGTATAAAAAATGTCTGATATTTTAAGCTCGATCTGTTGATTAAGGTTTTCCTATTTCTAGTCCATAAAAAAAAATAATACTTTTTAAAGACTTTAAAAAATTAAAACATTTATTAAATGTATAAACATTACAATAAAATTGATTATTACGACAATTATTTAGTGACAATAAATTAATTACCTTTATTTTATTATTTAATAAAAATATTAATCACTAATATATAATGGTCACTAAAAATATTTATATTACACCAAAATTTATTATTAGCAATAATTATTTACTTAGAAAAACTTAAGTCTCACATCAACCAGAAATAAGATAATTAAAGAGTATATAAATAGATAATAACTCTCACCTTACAAGTTTATTTTGTAGGATTAAGTAAGACCTATAACTTACTATTCTAAATTGGTATTAGATTACTCACCATTATCAAACTCAATAGTCTCTAAACTTGAGGAGATGTATTGAAAAAAATTAAAATCTCACATCAACTATTGATAAAATAATTAATTAGGAGATAAGACAATTAGAAAATATAAAAGTAAAAGACAATTTTCATCTTACAAGTCCCACATCGAGTAGAAAGTAAAAAATATCACAAAAAGTTATACACTTTTTTTTATCATTATAAGAATTTTTACCAGTATTTAGAATAATTGTCGTTAAATGTTTTAGCGACACTGCATACAATGACTATTGTGGAAATGCCGCTAAAAAATTTTGTAGCAACTTTTATTACCACTAAAAACCATATTAAATGTCACTAAAAGTTTATTTTGTTATAGTGAAACTGAAAAATTAAACGCACACATGCTCTCAATTTAAAATTAACTAATTCATTAACATTATAATGTACTTTAATTATATTAACCCTGAAATCATTATTACTTTCTTGCTTTACATATTTTGCTCAGGTTTAGATTCCTTCGCATGACATTTCAGTTTAGTAAAATCTCTCAACCCTTAACTAAAAAATTTAATAATAAAACAGACATGGATTTCTTATGGTGAGAATTTAAATTAATGCGCCATAAGCAAATTAATATGTATTACTCAAATTTGGCAATGGGTTAAAGTTCTTCATTTAATGTACAGTTGATGTGCTGTTGAATAAAATTAAACTGCGATTTTTTATTTTTTTAGAATTGAACAGCAAGAAATTTACAACAAACCATGCACACTCCATGCGTGTGGCTTTTCATGGCCACAAATATATGAAGGTTAGTAGTCGATTTATAATTCAACATATCTGCCATCACTAAGCAACATTTAGTGAGTCTACAATATATTATAAAATGCTTTGCACATTTCAAAGCGCTTGGGTTTTCAGTCTTTCACTTCCAACCTTTATAATCTGATTACATAACTTTAAAGCAAATTTCCAGTAAGCTTTACAAATAGAAGCAAATTTTCAGTTTTGAAGATAATACCCATATTTAGCGATTGTAATTTGTGTTATAATAAATTGTAAACTTTGGAATGTCGCACACCTGACCTATGGGCTTCCTCATTATTAAGACCAATCTCAGTACCACACAAGAAGCCCATACTAGGTTTCGCTATACGTACGTTAACTTTTGAGACAACATTGAATTAAGACCCAATTTTGTTTCTACCACGGCCTGTTTTGTAAAGATTGTGTGGAATTCCTTAGGCTAAAAAAAGGCCATTGTTTATAATAGTATATTTAAATTTAACTCAACATCGTAAAATTGAATTGAGATGTAAGATGAGAGTTGATCTCTATTTATATACTCTTTAATTATTTTATCTTTAGTCAATGTGAGTTTTAAATTTTTTTCAATACACCCCTCACGTTCAGCACTATTAGACTTGATACGTGGATTAAATTTTTTTCAATACACCCCCTCACGTTCAGCACTATTAGACTTAATACGTGAATAAATCGTGGGTGACCTTTGAATGATTTAGGATAAACTATCCATTTTAAGGATCTAAGATAAATTTAATATCATCTTAGAATAATGAATTTAAATCTAACTCGTCTTCATAAAACCGGATGTAAGACTTAAATTTTTCCAATACACTCCCTCACATTCAACACTATTAGACTTTATACGTGAATAAATGATAGAAGACCCTTTTAAATAGTTCAACACTATTAGACTTTATACGTGAATAAATAATAGATGACCCTTTTGAATAATCTAAAATAAACTACCCATTTTTAAAAATCTAGTATAACTCTAATATTATCTTAAAATAATAAATTTAAGTCTAACTCAACTAACTTAAAAGATGAGAATTATTTTTTACTTATTTATTTTTTAATTAATTGTCTTTATCACTAATTAATGTTGGACCTAGATTTTTATCACTAGGCCTCTAGTTTGAGTTCTAACTTTTCAATAATAAAATTTAGGATAAAATATGTTTTCAATTCTCTAAAATTTCCACAAAATAATTCAGTAAAATAATATTCTTATTATTGACTTTTTGTAAGTCACTTGTTTCTTTTAACTTTTTTTTGTAATAATTTTAAAATGTCAACTAAACCCGAACCATAACCCACCAAAGTTGGATAAGTTGAATCCATCCGTTATGAAATCAAGGTCTATTCCAACCCATTTTTTATGGATTGAATACAAGTTCAGTTCACCATTTTAACATGCCTATGATTGGAGATGTATAAATATAGTTATAGATAGAGGAGTAGTATTTATGAGTATAAATATTGCTGTTCTTTTTTCTTTGTAGGTGCCCAAAATCACATTAAGTTGAATATTACAGAAATGTGGACGGAGACACTTAACCTTAAAGCTGTCCTGCCCCACTCCATCTTTGCATGTTACAACACATTGGCCACTGCTTATCTGCCAATGTTGGAAGGTTAGCCACCCAATATATCAATTCAGAAGGACTGAGCCATAAATGTAAACAAAACTTTTTTTTGCCACATTCAAGGGACGTGACTCAGCAGCATGCAAAAGGGTTCAGAATTTCCTTGACAAGAAGCTACATAGCTAACCCACAAAGTCATGGATCATGTGCCCTCCAAATTGACGCCTAAGCTCCTCCTCATGCTGTAGCTGTTGTTGTTGTTGTACACCTTCAACACCGTGCCTAAGCCCTAAAGTCAGTGACACTGATCCAAGACCACCAACCTCAAGTCCACCTCTTCTGTATGGCATAAAACCCATCATTGTGCCATCAATGTTTGGTGCTGTGGAAAGCTGGCATTCAAGTTTAGACCTCTTCTCTTGATTCCATTGATCTTCGTCCATTCCAATGTGTTCCTCATTGCCTGCAGAGGAGGATGACCCCATTTCCAAACAATGAAATTGCTTTTCAGGGATTGCATGTGATGATGCATGTGTGCTGAACCTGCTCACAGGTTGGTGATGGTTGCTACCTTCAGAGGCAGAAGCTCCCTGATCATTTTTACTTGAGGCTTGGTGGGCTTCTGTTGCGCCCTTTGTTTCGAGCATGTGTATTTCCTCAACCATTGGCTTCCACACACGGACTCGAGCATTTATGAACCAATTTGATACCTGTGTTAATCAGTTATTTTGTTATTATCAAAGACAAGGATTATAATAACATCAAAGTTTGAAACCAAGATCTTGTGTATATTATCCTAATGTCACTACAAGGAAACCATAATCATATCATATTGACCAATCAGTAATGAATCCCTTAAATGGACTATAAAGAATACTAGAACCTAGTTTTGACAATTTCAAGTATAAAATATGGTAAAGTACCACGAACAAAATTAATAAACATCATAAAAACAACTTTCTTAACAATCCCTAAGGTGGGGTTTGGATTGCTTCTTTTATTTTTCAAACCCATGATGAGTACCTTGACTAAAAATTTAAAAAATGACAACTTTTACTCTATTTTTTGTTTTTAATATGAATAGATAATATATGTATTGATAATATGAAGATTTTTACACTGTCTATCACAAACAGTCACATGTGATATCTTGACTTTTATAATCATCATCTTAAAAGTCACATGAAGCATAATTTCTAATCAGCTAAGAGTGTAAAAATTCCTACACTCAAATACATGTCTATAGAACTTTTTGATATTTGGAGAAGGATATAGGTGAAAACACAAAAATGTTGGACTTAACACAATTTCCTTCAGAAATTTTGAAAACAAGGAGCAAAATGAAGTAACATACATTTTTTAACTATTAATAAAAAATATATGCCAGCCAAAAAGCATGAGAATGTAAAACAAAAAGAAAAAAAGGTTTTGTCATTAATTGAATTAGAACTTCGTATTTAGAGTTGGCAGATATTAAACGAAATATTTGTCCCACCGATTGGACCCACTTAGAAGCCACCAAAAGAGCATGTCAAATACACAAATTGAATCAAGCAAATAGATAAAGGACTATAGACATAATAATGAATTCAAAAGGAGTAGACCCCCCACCTGGTTTCGTGATAGACCTGTTTGAGTAGCCAACATGTGTTTATCAGTGTCCGTGGGGTACCTGAAATGAAAGTGAACAGCAAAAGAAGACCATAATTCAATCTCCTTTAAGGCAAACAGAACATTCATAGTTTCATACTTAAAGAGATCACAGATTGAGTACATACGGATGAAGGAAATGCTCAAATAGCCAAGCTTTAAGAATTGCCACCGATCGTTCTGGTAACCCTCTCTGGGGCCTCCATACGTGTTGTTGGGGCTCAAGAAAGTTTATGTTAGCCCCGCCAGATTTGTTTTTTTGAAAGCTTTGGTCCATGCACCTTAACCTTGCCATATTATTGTCCAACTTACAACTAGTACTTGTGGTTGGTATTGAAAACTCATCTCCCAATACTTCACATGTAAGCTTCAGTTGATCTGAGATTGCATTTTTTAGGCACCTGAAGTGTTTCGATACTGACTTGAGAGCCAAGGAGACATAAGGGGTAGCAGAACTAAGACCCGCTACTGACTCAAAGGATTGAACAACCATTTGCATTTGTTGATGGTATTGCTTGTATCTCCTAGTAACCTATCATGTCTCAGTGAAACAAAGTCAACAGAAAATTTAATAGCATTCTCATAAATTTGAAGTAGCATTAGTTTAAGAATTTTCATAACTACTCAAACGCAATACAACACATGATAGCAAGATATTTTTGTACATTGTTCTAACAACCACAATTAATTACGAAAAACTTATTAAAAGTGTGTTGAAGTAGATGATAAAAACTAACCACTAATAGCCCACCAATTTGAACAAGTTGATAGCAACCGGGTAGGATGATTCCTCAAATTCTTTTCTCATAGACTTTGAAACAAACAAAGTACTTTCGGAAAGTGAAATGCACACAGTTGAAAGGCTATCTACTACTGTTCTTGCGTAGACTCTGGATCCTAGACAAGAAGCGAATCCTAGCCATTTTTAGATAGAAATTTATTCCTACTACTAGAAGACAGGATGCGCCATGTGCCACTTCCTAAAGCAACAGTAACTACAACTCAACCGCAGATGAAACATTATTATATACAGAACTTCTACGTAACCTATGTCTCCTTGTTCAACAGGTAAATGAAAGTCCTAAGAAATGTGGTACAAGAAAAAAATAGTATGATCTAACCTATTTGAATGTACTAAAAATCGAGTTGAGAGCATTTTCTTCTGAATATTTATTTAAAAATTAATTAAATATATGTCTTTTAGATACATCAACATCTAAGTAAACTGCCATGAGCAGGAAAGTAAATGAAAAATATATTTTAAAATTCTCCAGTAAGCAACAATTCTTTGTTATGTATGAAACGCAATTATTTTGTAGAGGAAGGGAGGATTAGCAAACAAAGAAACAGGGGAGTGAATGATCTATAATATTCTCTAAATAAAATACAAAGAAGAAAAGACAAGTGCGAAAAAATATCAATGCAAGAGCACTACGTTTACTATTGATATGATTAAATAGATCCAAAATATGTAGCTAATTTAACTTATTGTTTGAGAAAGTTAAACAAAAAAAAATCTGTAAAATCACTGCAACAAAATTGATTACTACCAACAATTATTTAGTGACAATAAATTAATTGTCTTTATTTCATTATTTAATAAAAATATTAATGAATAATATATAATGATTACTAAAAATGTATTTATATCACACCAAAATTTATTATTAGCGATAATTATTTATTTAGAAAAACTTAAGTCCCACATCGACTAGAAATAAGATAATTAAAGAGTATATAAATAATTGATAACTCTCACCTTACAAATTTGTCTTGTAAGGTTAAGTTAGACTTATAACTTATTATTCTATTTTAATAAAATAATTAATTAGGAGATAAGACAATTAAAAAATGTATAAGTAAAAAAACAATCTTTATCTTCCAAGTCCCACATCGAGTAAAAAGTAAAAAATGTCACAAAAAATTATACATTTTTTCTGACCATTATAAAGATTTTTACCGGTATTAAAAATAATTGCCACTAAATGTTTTACTGACACTGCATACAATGATTATTGTGAAAATGCGGCTAAAAAATTTTGTAACAATTTTTATTACCACTAAAAAATCATATTAAATGCCACTAAAAATCTATTTTGTTGTAGTGAATATTTATAATTAGAATTTAGTATTTAACTAGTTAAAATATTAAAAAGTGAATCATAAGAAACAATTTATCAACTTAATTCATTATCAATTGGATAATATTTTTACCAAGATTTTCATGTTTGTGCTTCCTATTTACGTAAATATACTAGATGTTGAGTCAATCAAATTAGCAAAGTTAACTCCTAAAAATGACAAGATATGCTATTAATGAATAATATGACGACCATTTTTTATACCAAATACAAGAATCATGGGAAAGAAGACGAATTAAACATTCAACAACAATGAAGAAGGCAAGAATAACATCCTATAGATGACACACTCCCACATACAATAGGAATCTATGCCAGAAACATACAATTGTAACACACGAAAGTTCAAAAAGGAACTACAAATCATTCCAAAGGAATAATAAGTTCAATAATTAAAATATCAAAATACAAATATTATATGAAGTTATGAAAACAAATCAAAAACAATTCAAATCGGTATTGAACCTTATCAGTTAATTTTTATTCCTGTTAATAGTTTGTGGCCAGTCACTCTTAGGCTTAAATATAGTACTAAATGACAATACCAACAATGAAAACTGAAAAACAAAACTACAGAATGAGAGCAACAATAACGACCAACAAAACAAAAGAGAAAAGTTAATTTAACCAGATGGTCCTCGTAGATGAAAGGAAAACAACAGCATTAGCGACAATCCAAATGTTAAAGAACAATACCACTATTAATCTATTACCAACAACCCAGGTGGGTAACTGATACTATTTTGCACATACCAACCATTAAAACCAATAATAAAACGTTAAGAAATCCATAAGCTACAAAATTAGAATCACCTTGAAATTAAGTAACTAACCATTCAACACCCTACACAAAAAATGCAATTACGTTTTCTTTCACATTCTCTGGACGTAAAACCTAGATGTATAGATCTTTCGCAGCCTAACTTTTCAAGAGCTATGCGTCCACAGTAACCGACACCAAATGACTCCTTGTTGCACACGGAAGTTTTAAAGCATTTGGCCTTTTTCTTGTGTTATAACAGTAAGTCACTGACATACATCAACCATACCAAAAACACACAAAACAAAAAAGTAAAAAACACAAAAACAACCACAAGGGTTACAACATGAGCAGTGAAAAAAAGACCGACCTCATCTTGCATGTACAGTAGTTTGGCCTTGTTCTTTTGGCACTCTGGCCGAGAAGAAAGACAAAAGCTACTCGCGGCTCCGCCATCGGCGCTATTAGTATTTTCATTTGAACTATACAATGAAGCACCCGAATTGCTACCACCTTCTGCAGCAGCCACACTTTCTTCCACATTAAGAGCATCAGCAGCAGCAGAAGTAGAAGCAGCACTGACATCTCTAGAGACCCACTCTGGAACATTACAAACCCCTCCCTTCACAAATTTTGAACCAGATTGACAACACCACTCGTCTAATAACTGTTGGCACGGCTTCAAGAACCTTGAACTCTTCAAAATCGTTGCATAACCGGTGAAAGGACCAAGAGGACCAACATTTCGATATACAGTGTTGTTTGCTAGAACGTTCAGCTTCATGGTGGATTTCTCAGGCTTTGAATATTGAGGGTCATCTGATGCTGACCCCTCTTCAAAACAAGGCTTGGAATTGTGGTTTGAGTTCGATGAAAGTGACAACGATAGAGTCTGAGGATTTGGTTCCTGTTCGCTAATCTTTTTAAAACCAAATGGACTATTTGTCCACAAATTAGCACCCCCAAAACGTAACTCGTTGTTTCCTTGAGTTCCATAGCTAGGATTAATCACAGGCTCACCGTTATTCCCTCCCCAAACGCCATAAGCCATGTCCTGCAAAGCGTTATGGTAAAGCGGCGTTGCAGCCGGAGGATAATGCATTTCCCCTAACTGCTTCTGAATTTCTCGGTTGGCCATTTCACCAGAAGCGTTGTTATTGAGTTCGGAAGGGAAGAATGTGTTGTGGTTGCCTTCATTATAATTCACCATCCAACTAGCACCCAAGTTTCGCGGTTCGCATTGTTGGTCTTTTGGGGATGAATGAGGGAACGAAGTTGAACCATACTGAGCCATCATGAGCTCTTGACACTCCAAAGGGTTTCTGGGAGCAGATAAAGGGTTTGAAGCGGTTGAAAAGGTTATCATTTCCGATGAATAAAGAGCTGCGGCATCGTCAAGCATGTTGCCATTTCGAACGTTTCTTACTTGAAGGAGATCCAAGTTGAACCCCGATATTTGTTCTAGGTTGTTGGGGAAATCTTGTTGCAAGTTTTGGGAACTGTTTTGGATCCTCAATTTATCGCGACGAAGTTGTTGTGCGACATGCAATTCCGGTCTTAAGCTGCTCATTCCAACGCCAAAAAAGCCTAAACGATCACTCTAGCAGCCCTTTCAGAAGTTAATATCTGTATCATTTCTTCCACGCATTAGAGAGAGAAAAACAACGATATCTAAAAATAACAATAAACAATAATACGTCTTTGTGTGAGTGTATACTTTATTCAACTGAAGTTTGCTTGTAATTTACAAGCTCAACAGAAAATGGGAAAAGAAATTGTCAACCATGTAGGCTTTGAGTTTGAAACCAGTTAAATGAGGTTACAAGTTTTAAATGTGAAACTGAACATAATTTCGACGCAAAATTAATTAAATCGAAAACTGAAATTATACTACATACAGACGACAAAATAGGGTCGAACGACACAAATGAATTTGATAATAAAGAAACCGATTGATATAAAGCTGGAGTTGATAAATTTATTATTCAGTTCAGTTTCATGAAATTAATAAAGCTACTTGTGCTCGTTTTCGTTCACGCTCGTTTCTATTTACTACCTTTATTTAGCCATAAGCAAAAGGAAAGAAAGCACGAGAGACAGCTATATTAGCTAGCTTGCAAACATCTCAGGTATGAAACTATTTCAACCACCACACCGAACAGTGCAACACCCTCCCAATCTATATGTCGGTAAGATTGAAGATGAAGCATGATAACTCACATAACTCGCAACCCGTAAAACCTACGCAAATACCAAAAACAAGAACAAGTTAAGGCTCTGACGGGACACGTAAAATCACAACAGCGAGTGAAACCCTAGCTTTTGATCCACCCTCCAACTCCAACGGATCTAGTAGAAGCTTCCAAGTCCCGACCAACAAAACAACAACAGCAACTCACCCACGCTTCCTTAAAATAAACAAAACAAAACATCTTAAGGAGGAGGCACCTTGAGAGTGGTGCATAGAAATTAACAAAGAACAAGAAACACAAGCACGTTGAAGTTACGGGGAAAGAAACTAGTACTTACAAAAATAATACTAATAAGAATAAAGAAGTGGAAGTGTATGAATTAGCAAGCCTAGTGGCAAACGAGGTAGTATATATTACCTTAGGTGCGATCGAAAAGAAGTGTTGATGAGATTTGGTGAAGATTCCGGTTGAGAAGGTGTTGTTGGTATGAAATGGGAAGTGAGAAGGGTGAAGCTAAGCATTGCTACAATGATTGCAAAAGCGATTATCGGCCGTTACTTTTAACGTCTAAATTAACATAAAGTCACCTATTTTAATTATTATTTATAATCTATAATTTATAATTTATATTTACTTTTTAAGCTTTGAAACTTCTGAGAAAAAATTGTGATATGTGACGCTGCTCTCGTGACTCGTGAGTGGGGTGTAACTCCAACATTTGTGGTCCCTTTTTCTCCCTCTTCTTTTCTTTCCACAGCTTCTTCCTTTTGCCCTTTTTATTTCTTCGTATTTCCGATTCTGTCACTGTCTCCTCCACTCGTCTCTTAAAAAATTTGGGGCACCAACATATGAAACATGTATGTATCTAGGAAATAAAATATCGGTCTCAATCATGTAATAATAGTTTGTAATTATTGTCCAAAACTTTAACCTCACTTTTTGGGTTTAAAGTAAGTTATGCAATAATAAAATCCTAAAAAGGAGAGAGAAGTTGAATCAACATTTAGCTAAAGTCCTGAAAAGGATCGATTAACAGATATTCAAACCTGTGTAGTGAAATGGAGAGCCTTGTCCCAAGCTCTTCAAAACCCACACTTCAGCAACGTATGTGTAATTCAAAAACTTTATGAAAACTAAAATCTTAATAAACGCCAAAAATTAGCCTTTTATCTAACGTGGGGCAAACATTTTGGAATACGCATGCATACTCCAAAATAAGAAAGTCAATCGAACCAAATATTCAAATACATTATAATTTTGGAGGAAAAAACAACATCTTTTTCAAGTATTATTCTATTTTTTCAAAAGTTGTTAGGAAAATGAATGATCATTTGTGGAAATAAATTAATCTAATCATATATTAAGGGTTGTTATACATGCATATAAAAAAGACCTGAACATTATCATCAAATGTTATATTTATTAAATGTGATATATGAAATGTTATAGAACTTATTTAATAAACCTTTTTAATATATATATATATATATATATATATATATATATATCTTCTAT